CCCCCCCCCCCAGCTCCCAAATAAAAAACTGGGAACGAGAAAGACCCTATCGGGTTATTGACGCCTGCATTAGCGAGTGACCACGCCCCCTCTCCTCTCCCTCCTACCCCCATCCCCTTGCTGCTGGGTCACAGCCCAGAGTCCCAGGGAGTGATCAGCGGTGCTGTTTTCCTTATCATCCTGTTCTGCTTCATTCCTTTCCCCTTCCTGAACTGCTTTGTGAAGGAGCAGTGTAAGGCATTCCCCCACCATGAAGTAAGTGGGTTAGTGGGGGCGGTTGCCTGTGGTTGGGGTCTGGGACATACCTGAGAGAGTTGGGGTTATTTGGGCTTGGGGAGAGGGGCTGAGGAACGATCTGCAAAGATAGGAATTCTTGAAAGGTGGAATGGGAGTAGGCTTGGTCATGACGTGCCCGAGCCTCCCCCAGTTTGTGGCCCTGATAGGTGCCCTCCTTGCCATCTGCTGCATGATTTTCCTGGGCTTTGCGGATGATGTTCTGAATCTGCGCTGGCGCCATAAGCTGCTGCTGCCCACAGCTGCCTCACTACCTCTCCTCATGGTCTATTTCACCAACTTTGGCAACACGACCATTGTGGTGCCCAAGCCCTTCCGCCCCATTCTTGGCCTGCATCTGGACTTGGGTAAGTAGTCCTGCCACTACAACCCCTGTGACACCTACTTCCAGGGATGCCCCCCCCCATATCCTGGGTGTTCCGCTTTCTCCAGGTGCCCCTGTGTCTTCTCACATCCTTTCTGGTGGCCCTTCTTCCTGTCCTCTGTCTTCACCGCTTTTCTCAGATTCTTTTTTTTTTTTGAGTTGGAACCTCACTCTATCACCCAGGCTGGCACACTCATGGCCACTGCAGCCTTGACCTGCTGGGGCTCAGATGATCCTTTCACCTCAGCCTTCCAAGTAGCTGGACCCACAGGCATGTGCCAATATACCTGGCTAATTTTTTTGACTTATTGTTGAAACAAGGTCTCGCCATATTGCCCAGGCTGGTCTCGAACCCGTGGGCTCAGGCAATCCTCTGGCCTCTGCCTCCCAACGTGCTGCGATTATAGGCGTGAGCCACTGTACCCAGCATTTTCTCAGATTCTTAAATCTTCCTTCCCTAGGTGGCATTACTTCTCTTCCCACTGTGTCTCCCCCCAGGAATCCTGTATTATGTCTACATGGGGCTTCTGGCAGTGTTCTGTACCAATGCCATCAATATCCTAGCGGGAATTAATGGCCTAGAAGCTGGCCAGTCGCTAGTCATTTCTGCTTCCATCATTATCTTCAACCTGGTAGAGCTGGAAGGTAGGTGGGATTGGGCGTGGAGAGAGAGAGAGAGAAGTCTTGAGTTGTTAAGGGAGTTGCCTGATACCTGACTTTGGGAAATTCATCACAAAAAATAATGTGAACAATTATATAAGATAAGGGAAGCTATTTATTTCAAAAATAACAGTGAAGAGTTATTAAACGTGAAAAAGATAAATAGCAGTCCTATCATTTATGGCTAGATTGGCACAAATAGCTAAGACATGATCTTCTCCTATGGAACATAAACAATTTCACAGAACCCTGACATTAGACAGTGTCACTCTTTGACCATGATGGAGCAAGACAAAAACCAGACCCCTCCCTCCATAATCATGTCTAAGTACAGAAAAAACATAAGAAAACCAAGCATTCCACAAAATGGCCAAGACCCAGTTAACATGAAACACTATTGCTTCTATCCAATAGCAACTTGGTTCCTTCCACTTCTCTTTTTTTTTTTTTGAGTCAGAGTCTTACTCTGTTGCTCAGGCTGGAGTACAGTCGCACGCTTATGGCCACCACAGCTTCGACCTGCTGGACTCAGGCTATCTTTCTGCCTCAGCCTTCCAAGTAGCTAGAACTACAGGCACACACCATCTCACCTGGCTAGTTTTTTGATTTATTGTAGAGATGAGGTCTTGTAAAGTTGCCCAGGCTGGTCTTGAAGCTGTGGACTCAGGCAATCGTCTCACCTCGGCCTCCCAAAGTACTGGGATTATAGGTGTGAGCCACCATGCCTGACCTCCTTCCACTTCTTAGATACAAATTAAAAAGCTCAAATATAGAATTACTCCTTTTTTCTAACAGCACCCAGTACAAAGCAAAACTCTACTTCCTTTCACCCTCCCAAAATTACCCAAACCAAATCCTATAACAAGCCCCTCCTAACATTCTCTTACTGAAGAATTCTGTGGTTCCCAATGGTGTGTGGTTTCCAAAGTCTTCCTTGTTATAACAAGTCAGTAAACCTAGCTTTGACTATAGGTGTGTTTCTGGTGGTCTTTGGCTGATGGACATCGACTAATAAATGCTTTTTAAATCTAAGTGCTGAGCTAGACATAGTGGCTTATGCCTGTAATCTTAGCTACTTGGGAGGCTGAGGTGAGAGGATTGCTTGAACCCTGGAGTTTGAGGCTACAATGAGCTACGATCATGCCCAGGCTGGTCTTTAACTTCTGGACTCAAGCAGTCCTCCTGCCTTGGCCTCCCAAAGTGCTAGGATTACAGGCATGAGTCACTGTGCCTGACCTAAACCAAATTTAAGGTAGTAACTAGTTTGGGAAGGCTTCATGAAAGAGGTGGAATATTGGGAATTGCCTGGGTGACATAAAAGGGATAGAGTTTTTGAAAGTGACTTGGGCAAGATGGATGATGTAACTGGGGACAGAACTTAGAGAGGGACAGAAATAGGACCAAGGCATGCAGAGGAAGTGGGTATAACTTTTCCTTCTTTCTTTTTTCCCTGCTTCCAAAGGTGATTATCGGGATGATCATGTTTTTTCCCTCTACTTTATGATACCCTTTTTTTTCACCACCTTGGGATTGCTCTACCATAACTGGTAAGTAGGCCTGTGAATAAGGGGGACAACCGTTTGAACACATGGAAAAGATGTCCTGATCATAATCCACCTCTGGGTGGAGAGGCTAAACCTGTGCATACCTGTGTTGAGTGTTTTCAAGGTCTTCAGTTGGTAGTATTCTGAAATTACTCTCAACAGTAGCTGGGGATCGGTGTTGTGTCTCCCTCCCCACAAGAATACATAAATTCAGAATCTTGGATCCTGCAGACCTGCTGGGACAGCTGGAGTCTCCTCTGAATCAGAACTAGGGTCAGGGCCCTAGCCCAGTGCCCAGAGTGTGTGATGGGAGAGAAAGGATAGCAATGCCTCTTGCCACTGGCTCAGATCCTTTCCCCCACACAGGTACCCATCACGGGTGTTTGTGGGAGATACCTTCTGTTACTTTGCTGGCATGACCTTTGCCGTGGTAGGCATCTTGGGACACTTCAGCAAGACCATGCTACTCTTCTTCATGCCCCAGGTGTTCAACTTCCTCTACTCACTACCTCAGCTGCTGCATATCATCCCCTGCCCTCGTCACCGTATTCCCAGGTAGCCACTTTGGGGACTTGAAAGGGACACCAATCGGGATATCTAAGACCAACCTATACATTTGCTGTGCAAAGGGAAGTGGGATCAAAGAAGGGCTATTTCCATGTGGGTAGCTCATTATAACTTACAAAGTACATTTACATAATCTCATGTAATGCTCACAGTAGTTCTTCTTTTTTTTTTTTGAGTTGGAGTCTCACTTAGTCGCCCAGACTGGAGTGCAGTGGCCGCTCCCTGCCACCCCAGCCTCAACCTGCTGGGCTCCAGCGATCCTTCTGCCTCAGCCTTCCAAATAACTGGAACTACAGGCGCGCACTACCACGCCCGGCTAGTTTTTGATTTACTGTAGAGATGAGGTCTCTCCAAGTTGCCCAGGCGGGTCTTGAACCCGCGGGCTCAGGCAATCCCCTCAGCTCAGCCTCCCAAAGCGCTGGGATTACAGGCTGAGCCACCGAGCCCGGCTCTCACAGTAGTTCTGATCACACAGTAGTAAGCAGCAGATCCAGAAATAGTTCTCAGGTTGACTCCACATTTAGTGCTTTTCCTATTAGTGAACCACAATGAGGAGAGTTCTTCAAGAAGTGACCCAGTCACATGAACCTATCTTCCCTTGCAGACTCAATGTCAAGACAGGCAAACTGGAGATGAGCTATTCCAAGTTCAAGACCAAGAGCCTCTCTTTCTTGGGCACCTTTATTCTAAAGGTAACAGGGTAACAAGGAGGTAAGGCCTGAGGCTGCCATCCTGAACTTGGGAAATGGGGACACTAGGCCTGCATCAGACCCAAGGGGAGTTTGGAAGCATTAAGCAGATTCCCTATTCCTGAAACATAGGAATTAACTGAAGTTCTTTCCACCTCTGGCCCCTCCAGGTGTCAGAGAGCCTCCAACTGGTGACAGTACACTCGAGTGAGAATGAAGATGGTGAATTCACTGAGTGTAACAACATGACCCTTATCAACTTGCTACTTAAAGTCTTTGGGCCTATATATGAGAGAAACCTCACATTGCTCCTGCTGCTGCTGCAGGTGAGGTTTGGGCTAGCTTTACACCACCTTGTCTCCCTTTCTCCATGGTTCTTACTCCAGTCCTTTTCTCCTTGCAGATCCTGGGCAGTGCTGTTGCCTTCTCCATTCGATACCAGCTTGTCCGACTCTTCTATGATGTCTGAGTCCCTTGATCACTACCCTTTACCTCACAGCCCCTAGAGTCATGACTCCGACCGTCCTCCGTGTGGACCAAGACTGCCTCTTGGCCTAGGCTGCTGCAACCCATCATATGTCTCCAAATTTTGTGCTCAGCATTTTCTTCCCCTGTAATTACTGACATCCTGGGTCTTTCTACTGATTTAGACTACTGATTAGACTTTGCCTGTGGCTTTCTCCATCTTGCCACTCTCTTCCTCCCCATCCCATCTTTGCAGCATCATAAGGTGGGGTACAGCAGCTTTTATGCACTTATCCATGAAACATATTTCAGAGTCCTGACTTTCAAGGAATATACTGGGCCTTGGATTAGAACCTGGGCTAGGGACAAGGGACACAGGCTTCAAGGTGACTTGATGATTGACTATAAATTAAGTGTTTTGATTAGTAAGAGCAGAGCAGGGGGCCAGGTGCTCCCAATGATGACAATAAAGTATTATCTTTTTCTTGTTGTTCCTCTAGGTATATTTCCTCTATTAACATTTTAGGGTAGATTGGAAGGGTTGGTGGGAGTACCTCCTCCGACAGGATGCCTATCTCCCTGCCCCATCCTACTCATAGCAAGATGTGAACAGAGCCGGGTGTGGTGGCTCACACCTATAATCCCAGCACTTTGGGAGGCTGAGGTGAGAGGATTGCCTGAGTCCACAGGTTCGAGACCAGCCTGGGCAATTTGGTGAGACCTCATATCTACAATAAATCAAAAAATTAGCCGGGCATGGTGGCACGTGCCTGTAGTTCCAGCTACTTGGAAGGCTGAGGTGGAAGGATCGCCTGAGCCCAGTAGTCCGAGGGTGCGGTGGCCGTCAGCGTGCTACTGCACTCCAGTCTGGTGACAGAGTGAAACTCCCACTCAAAAAAGAAAAAAAAGTTAACAGAACCGAGACCAGACAGAACATGTTGAATAAATGTTGAAATCCTAATACTTCAGTGGCATGGAGGGCCATAAGATGGAAGTTCTGTTTTCTGACAGGGGGACAAACTTTCATGGGGTCTCATTTCTTCTCTTTTGCACTCCCCCAGATAGAGGAGAGAGTGGGGAGCGACCAGAACTGTAAGTGGAAGCCGAGGTAACTGTAGTCTCGACTCCTTTCCTTTAAAAATCAGCACAGATTTCCCAGAGGCCCTCTACGTGGGAAACTCCACCCCTTTTTGTCTTCCGGTTCTGGTCTCCCGCTGTAGCATTTAAATCTCGCGCGCTTTACAAGGATTGGCTACATCGGTGGCTGGCCGTAAGCGTGTTGCCACGCCTCCTTGCCTTTTTCCCCGGGCAAAAGGTTTTCAAATTTGACCAATCGGCGGGCGCGCTCCTTCAGCCAACGCGCGACGCCGAAAGGTTAACCGCAGCCAACCGGAGGCGAGTGTTAGAGAAAAGAGCCAATCGAGAGGATGTGGAGGGGTGGCCTGGAGGCTTATAAGGGCGGCCCGGCGTCGCGCGCGGCTTCAGTTGGACTGCGGCGGGTGTCTGTGCGGCTTGCGCTGTTGCTGGTGTCTGGTCTGCATCGCGTAGGATGTCGGGCCGCGGCAAGACAGGCGGCAAGGCCCGCGCCAAAGCCAAGTCGCGCTCGTCTCGCGCCGGCCTCCAGTTCCCCGTGGGCCGCGTACACCGGCTGCTGCGGGAGGGCCACTACGCCGGGCGGGGGGGGGGC